CACTTGGACTAACTCAAAATAGAATAATAATAATGATTATAATGATAACAATAACTGCATTAATAATGACAATAACAACATCAATAATAATCATATTCATAATCATAATAGTAATATAATCATGACAGTGATAATTCTCTCAAATTACAAAAACGTGACTGAAAATGGAAATACTTTAATCCTGTCAAAATACAAATATACAATAACACACAAGATGAATCCCTATTGAAATAAAATCTATCCACATATTCACCAGAATAAATCAATAAATTATCATTATTATTATTATTAAAAGAACAAATAAATAATTAAAACAAATGAATAAAACTGAAAAGTTCAAAACACCCTTGCCTTCTGTACCCTAAGCTGAAGCTACTAATTAGCTTCAATGTTATTTCGGAAATACTATTCCTTTTAAAACAAACTAATGTTTTGTCTTTGCATATATATATTTTTTTTGGACATTATAATGATTATTTCTCTAAAGGTTGATGCACACTTTCAAGGAGCCCTTGCATGAAACTAACAGTAAAAATAATTATGTGGTAATAATCATAATCATATCATAATCATAATAATAATAATAATAAAATAACAATAATAATAATGATAATAATAATAATAATAATAACAATAAATAATGATAATAACAATAATAATAATGATAATGATAATAATAATAATAATAATAATAACTTTAACAATAACAAAAACAATAATGAAAAACAGATGCAAAGTGGTTTTAGTGCAATCCTCATCATAGTCATCGTCATTACAGAAATGAAGGGCATTTGTCGTATCAGTAATAGTCCAGCAAACAAATGTCGTCTAACTTTGGTCCCTGAGCCTAACAATATGGGGGAGAAAAAAAGAGCAAGGGAAGCCAGATAAGAAATAACGAAAAAGAGAAGAAAATTAAAGAAAAAAAAAAAGGTAAACAAAATGGAAACAAAGAGAAACTAAATAGTAAAACACACACAAAAATATAAATATACACATATCAAGGAGGAGAATGGAGACAATAACGATTATAAGTTATACAATTTGCATTTCACGAAAAAGAAATTAGACGAAAGTTGAAGAAAGAGGAAAAAAAAAAAGAGAGAGGGGGTTGTAGAAAACAAAATTTGCAACAACAAAGACTTATTATTGTAAAAAATAAACAGACAGAAAATCAAAACAAGTAGGAAAAAACAACTGAAAATAAGAAAAAATGAGAATGTAAAAAAAAAGAGATAGAAAGAATATATAACAGTTAAATTTGGGGTTACACAAGATTCTGGAGCACCGAAAGCATCCTATGAAATTGACTCGAAACGACTTCTCCACTACTTTACACTTTCATTTTGATTTTGATTTTCTTCAAAAATAAATAGGAACTCTGTATGAAAGGAAATGCTACTAACACTCCTTTATAAGCAGATAGATAAAAAAAAAAAGGATAATAAAAATAATAAAAAAAATAGAGCACTACTCAAAAACTTCAAAATATTCTATACTACTATTTCATATATCAAGTTACCAATAGAACAACAATAATAATGATACCTATGCAGAGAGAGGACCGTTTCCCAACAGATCTGTCAGATGCTCTTGGATGCTGTTTCCTGCTACCCCTACATTGCACCAGCTGAATGTCTCAAATTAATATTTAATGTACCATTGTCTGGAATGATTACACCTGTCTCTGTAGATACTACTCACACCATACTACAACATGTGCAATAAGAAAAGGACATAGGAGTACTGAATGATTAGGTGCTTGGGACATATGAACAGCCCCCAAATCATCAACAACAGGGAGGTACAGCAAGCACTATTCTTCGGTAATAATTTCCAAGGCGTGACGACTGATTTCTGGGTGTGGGTCAGCTGAATTACGAGTAATTTTCAACAAGACATAAATGAAAGTGACCATTCCAGAATAATGCTTGCTCTGCTTTTTTTTTTTCCTTTTTTTTGTTCGAAGTTGCACAGTTACAAGAGGAGGAGTGAGTGTGAGAGCAAGAGACACACACAATGACTGATCAGACCATGCACAAAGTGGATTATATGACATTGCACAAACAGTGTTGAGGGGTAGAGAGAAAGGTGGACAGTGAATGAAAATTCAAGTGCTGAGGGAGGAAAGGGGAAGGAGGAAAGGGGAAGGATGAAAGGGAAGGGTAAAAGGGAGAAATAAGAGGAGTAGAGGTAAGTATTATGAAGAGATGAAGGATTCTTTTTAATGGGGGGGAGGGGAGGAGGGAAGGGGGAAGGGAACTAAAATTACAAAGTTACAGAGAGTTTGTGGTGAGACAGAAGTGGCAGTGCACTGCCTAAGAAGGGAATGTTTGTGTGCAGACCACCATCAACACTTTATAACAAGTATTTAAGTAGGAAACACTGGATGGCGAGGATGGCAGTGTGTATGGAAAAAATGAGAAATAAAAAATAAAAACAAAAAGAAGAAAGGGAACATCAATACAAAGAGAGTGAGAGTGTGTAAACAAGTATCAACAAAGACTAGAATATTATATTACATCGGGTGGCTTTGAGATATATAAAAAAAAAGACAGAAACCACAAGTACTTGAAAAAAAAAAATTAAAAAAACTTTTTTTTTCCAAGTGCAAACCTCACGAAAGAGTGTTGGGGCGAGCACCACCAACGCCTGAGCTGCAGCTGCGCGGTGACGGCCGGCTCTCCCACTCTCACCTGCCGCGCGTCAACATCCCCACCGCCCTGCCCCTTCCAGCCCAGCCCGGCTGCCAAGGCTCACCAGCGTACAAAAACATCACAGATAAATACAAAAAAGTCTCTTCAGCATGCACTTGTATCACACAAGAGACAAAGGTTAAGCGTATAGGAGGGCCTGCTATGTAACTGCACTATTGCCTCTGCTCGTCTTGGTTTTTTTGTTATTTTTTTTGTTTGTTTGTCTGTTTGTCATGGCTCACTAGTGCTCACTAGTGAAGAGCTACATATCACACAAGAACAGATATTGTCTCACAATATCACTGCACGCTGGAGCAACACTTGCCTATCTATAACAAATGATGTAATTAACATTACAGAACAACCAAAACGTGGCCCCTCAGTCGTCCAGGACTACACATAACAGGGATGGGCTCTTTGTGCCGCTGTTGTACAAGGGTCTGTCTTGGGCCAAGAGTGGGGCCTCATTGGCTACCAAAACCTGAGCGTTGGACGTGGCCACGGGGGGTGGGGGCATCACGTCCCCGAGGTCCGTGAGGGTGCCGGCCATGGCCATGCTAGGGCCCCCGCCCCCACCGCCCAAGGCCAGGGTGGGCTCGGCTGGGGGCTCAACCTGTGACACACGCACAGAGCCGCCACTGCTTGGGGGCCACACACCTGCTGGTCGCACCTTCACGTAGTTGTTGTTGTTCGTGTTGTTGTTGTTGTTATTATTGTGGCAGACGGGCCGGTTGCTCCAGAAGGGCAAGGCCACAGTGGCCACCTGAGGCAAGGGCGGGGCAGGTGCTGTGGCGGCGGTAGCCCCTTGAAAGCCTTCCGTTCCCCCTGACGAGAGGTTTATGGGCAGGGTTGAAGAGGGCTGACCCCCTGCCCCAGGAGGTCAGGAAGGCTCCTTCTCTTGCTGTAGCACAAAGGTTGATCTGGCCCCCGCCACCCCCGCTTGGCCTGAACCTAGCAGCTTCAGGGACAAGCCACCACCTCCCCCTCCCACTGTGCCCCCTCCCGTCTTGCCTTGCACCTGTAAGTGGTTCAAGACCTGAAATAAAAGAGAAAGATATCAGTAACAAGGTAATGGATAGTGATATTAAATTTTGATTAAAAAATCTGAAGTTCCAGTACTGCCTATGTCCTACTGACCATTAATTTCTAAGCTGGTTCTTCCCACTGCAATAATGCCCAAATATTCATATTTCATTAACTGCATATTTGGCCTTTGGAGCTTGGAGAGAGTGATTTTACACATTAGAATAAGCTTTTTCGTAAAGATATATTGCTATGCTGCATAGCACCAAATAGTAGTGACTAGGAGGCTGAGAAAATTGATTGTACCTTAATTTTTCCTTCACACATCAGACCTCCATCTCTGCGTTGGTGTTATCATAAAAATGTAAGGAAATGGGAGAAAGATAGAGACAGGAGAAGACTGATGAATCTGGCAGAGTTCAAAGATAGGGGTGCACTCCTGGCAATCTCTAATAATCTCTAATAAGAACAGGGCCCAGCTAGCCCCAGAGGACCAATACACCAAGCTACTTTGACATACTGCCAGATCTTTGTGTCTTTGTGACTGTGATGCTCCCTATCTCAGGAAAGAAAAAACTGGCAATTCACCCTAGACTTTGGGGTATCTATATATATTTGTATTATATATGTGTATATAAAGCATGAAGACACCATGAAGCATGAAAAAGGGCTATCAACCCTAATTGGCCATCTCCATCTCTATCCCCTCACATCCCCCTAAAAAAAAGAACATATCTTCCTTCCTTCAGCCTACCTGATGTACTTGTCGCAGGGTCAAGCCCGGGGTTCCTCCTCCACCTGGCACCGCAGAAGTCAAGTAGGTAACCTGACCTGGGGCCAGACCGGCTGTGCTGCCAGGCGCTACACCGCCACCAACAGTACTGCTCCCACCACCACCTACGCCACCAACAGCACCACCGGAACCAACTGTGTTTGTTATGCCACTGCCACTCACTGGAAGGGAACAGAGCCATCAATTAAGATATCCAAACATGTATTAATTGTGTCTGAAAAAAAAGGTTAAAAAATAATAATAATAATAATGTTAAAGAATCAAGATATTTCCCTGAAGTACTCATCACAATGCAATCACTCAAGGATGATGCCCTATCATATTATAATAAACTAAAAACTTTTTTTGCCATCATTACCCAAATAATTATTCAAGTAGAGCACAGAAAGCAGAGTAACTAAGTTTCTTGTACTTCTGATTTTTCTTTCTAGTAGCCAAGTGTGTACACACCCTAACACAAGGTTTGGTATGGTGCTGAGGACTCCCATTATGTGTGGATTGGTACACATTCCAGAACAATCATTATGTATTCAAATATTCATTAACATTAACACTCAAACAAAAATTTACTAGATATTACAGAAGTACTGCTTAACAGTTAACACTTTCAATGAAAAATGATAGTTCCAAAATTCAACATTCCGACATTAAGAACATGAGGCACATAAACTTTCCAGGAAAATACCTAAAGATACTTATATCTTTCGTGCCATTAAACTTCTTGTTACAAATTCTTTTGTCTTACTGAAAGAATATAACTCGAAACACCAGAACAATTATAAACAGTTATCCGATATCATGGTATGGATGCTCTAGTATCATAATGCAGAAACAATAAGCAAGAAAAGAAACATATAGCGTCTATTAACATCTATGAAATTGGCTAAAGTGTATTGCATAAATAATATATACAAGTACAAATTACAATGATATGGATACAGTATAGCACAGTAATTAAATTCACGGGTTTTACAAAGATTAAATTATCAATCTACTCACTCAGGAACTGCCCACTACCATTCAACACAAACACACTTTCTCTGTTTTACTGAAACTAATTTTTCTGATTTGGAGGGGCTGATAGGTGAAATTACCCCTACATAAAATAAATAAGGTTACAGGCTAAAAGGACGAGGCTGCATAATCACTGCCACAAAAATTTACTAATCCCAATAAGCTCTCCATCAAATATAAATAATACTCTATATTCCTTCCTACTATCACTTTTCTTCCTCCTTTCTTTTTCTACAACTTGGTTTGACATTCTTTAAAGTAACAGGTTCCTGATTAACGGTNTAAATTTTTTTTTTTTTATAAACCGGGAAGGTTAAAAAACCCAGGTTAGGTTTTTTAAGCCCTTTTTCAAAAATTCCAAAAATACCCGGGGGTTTATTCCTGAAGCTAATCCTTAAACATACTTGGGTATAATTCCGGGTTTGCAATCCCGTGGGGGTTTTCTTCTTGCTTATATAAAATGGGTTGTTTGTTGTGTCTGTTCCTTTTAACAGACTGGTTAACCAATGGTGCAAAACAGATAGTAAAAAAAAAAATAATAACAAATGAGATAGACAACACAGTTTTAACAAGGTTATAAAAAAAAAAAGGAAATTTACGTCATTCTGCAAAAGTTTCGGCGTTCGCTTAAAATAACATATTCTGAAGAGAAGTATTTGTAAAGAATGTAAGTCTGATACAGCAGTCTAGTAGAGAAAATAGTCTATGGAGAGATGGATCTTCACTACATTTGGCCGATGCTAAGAATTACAATTTCCTGATGGGGGGTACTCATCAGTCAGTGCCATATGATCTAAGTCAGTGTTTCCCAACCTTTTTCTATATTTGGCCTATCAATATAAAGGACTGAGTCATTGCTAGTTAATGAATAGTGTAATGGGCGTCAACAGCTATATGATAAGAAGCAGGATATTTCCGTTTATTATTGACATATGAGAGATCTGTAGGTACTGGTGAACAAAAAGCAGTTTTACTCAAGTCATAATTTTCATACTGCTCCATGGCCCCTAGGTTGGCAATTATGTCTATTATTTTCCATTTTGACATCTGCAATGCCGTTATTCAGGCGTTAAATTGTTTAAAATGTTTTATCTTCACTGTACATTCAATACTAGTACAATTAAATCCTGTTTTCCGTTTCGACATCGTTGTAAACTCGCCCACTGTCAATGTTCCAATTTCTATTTGTATTACACAAGGAGTGAAGCTGGAATATAAAAAAAGAGAGAGGAACACGTGTACAAATTATTTTTTATATTTCAGTTATGGAAAGTCAACGAGCTGTAGCGTTTGATATTCTCGACAAATATTTGGAGATGAGGAAGGGGGGAAGGGAGGGAGAAGGGGGAGGAGAGAGACGGATACGGAGGAGGGGGGGGGGAAGGGGGAGGTAGGGGTAGGAAGGGAAGGAAACAACGGGTGGGGGGGGGAGGAGGAAGGAGACGAGGGAAGAGGAAGGAATAACTCAAAAAAGTTATAAACAGTCTTTTAGGGAAAAAAATAACGGAGGAGTGATTAAGCCTAACAAATTTCATCAAATTTTGCTGGATTTTTTGAATGACTGCATCATTACCCCTTTTACCTTTCCTCCGCCAAGTGTGATGAATTCTGTTGCATCAATGCCTATTGCCTTGGCGGAGTTATGCGCAGTCTGAATGCTGCTAGTTATCATTATTATAACTGTTTACTATTTACTATAAACGTTATTATTAATATCACTACCATTTTTCATTATTACTATCACTAATATCATAATGGACCATTATTATTATTATCATAATCATTATCATCCATACCTTAACCATCATCACCCCATTAACATTTTTGTTGTAATTAATTATCATTATCATTGTCATTCTTTATCATATTATCATTATAACTATCAATCATTTCTTTCTTCTCTCGCTTTATCTACCTATCTATTGATCTCTCTCTCTCTCTCTCTCTTTCCTCTCTCTCTGTAAGTAGAGACAA